GATAATAGACATTGTTACTGGGTGAGATTGTATATTACTGTGGTTTTGATTTGCATTTCTTTTGCAAATAAAAAAAATCAAATAATTTCTTTTTCTTAAAACCCATTCAAATTTTAGATTTTTTTTTTCTATTTCTGTGAAGTTGTTCTTGGAATTTTGCTGGAGATTGCATTGTATCTGCAGATCACTTGGGGTAGCTGGACATTTTTAATGACATTCATTCTTTCATGGGATATGTCTTCATTTATTTGTGTGTTCTTAAATTTCTTCTTATAGTCTTATAGTTTTCAGTGTATAGGTTTTTGCCTCCTTGGTTAAATTTATCCTTAATTATTTTATCATTTTGGATGCTATGGTAAGTGAGGTTGTTTTCTTTGTTTCTTTTTCAGACCCTTATTGGTTAGTACATGGAAATACAACTCATTTTGTGTTTGAAACTTTATTGAATTCATTAGTTGTAACAATTTTTTGAGGGAATCTTTAGAGTCTTCTATATGTAAGATTGTATCTTCTGCAAACAGAGACAACTTTTCTTCTTTCTGTCCCATTTACACGCTTTTTACTTCTTTCAGCTTTCTACCTGCTCTGGGACTCTCACTGCTGTGTTGAGTAGAAGTGGTGCCCCTGGGCACCTGGTCTTGTCCTGGTCTTGGAAGAAAAGCTTTCAGCTTTCATGGTTGAACATGATGTGAGCCGTGGGCTCGTTGTGTGTGACCTTGTTCATGATGAGGTACATTCCTCCCATACCTAATTTGTTAAGAGTTTTTTTTTTATCATAAAAGAATGTTGAGGGCTGGGGATGTGGCTCAAGCGGTAGCGCGCTCACCTGGCTTGCGTGCGGCCTGGGTTCGATCCTCAGCACCACATACCAACAAAGATGTTGTGTCTGCCGAGAACTAAAAAATAAATATTAAAAAATCCAAAAAAAAAAAAAGAATGTTGAGCTTTGTCAAATGATTTTTATATATTGATTGAGTATCGTACAATTTTATGATTTGTTCTCTTAATGTGGTGTGAGGGTCTTTCTTAACCAAGGTAAATGGGAAGTGGAGCAGAACAGGGTGTGCATGTCTTTCCCTAAAACTCTTCCAGTGGATGCACAAACACCCTAAGAATCGCACCCTCCAGGTAAGAACTGACCCAACCGAGAGCTGCTTTTGAGAAGGGCTTCCTTCCTCCGACCTGGGTGGGGGTCTACCTGCCTCACGGCCAGGGAAACCCGAAGAGGGCAACGTTTGTCCTCCTCTGCGTCTCCTCTCAGACAGAGCCTGGTGTGAGGCTCTGAGGTTTTTTTCCAGGAATATTCTGGAGCTGGCCCTACACCTCCCAGACTCAGAAGTTATTCTCGGCTTAGAGACGTGCACAATGAAGAACTTGTGAAAAATAAAACAGGGTGACAGAGGCAAACTGCAACCTGAAAAAAACCAGAAGTAGATGAAAGGAAGTGACTGTGGCCAGCGGAGGTCACTTGGTCAACACAGCACAGAAGAGTCATGAGTTTCAAGGCCTGAGGGTGGCCTTGTGCCAGAGGACAGCAGGCCAGGGGTTGGAGGGCAGGAGGCTGCAGTGGGGGAGGCTGAGCTGGGCTGACCAGGCTGTGATGGCACTGCTGCAGACCTCTCAGTGTGGGTGTCACGTGAAGGCAGCGACTCCTGGGACAGGGTCCACATGGGGCTCTGAGCTGGCAGGTCCTGTCTGCAGGGTCGCTGGGCAGCTGCTGAGACCTGCTCCTGGTTTACTCTGAGCTACCTGACAGATGGAGCAGGGTGGCTGGCCATTACCTGCAGCTCCCCCCAGGTGGGTCCCACGATGGGGTGGTCCCATGAAGGACACAGCTGGAAGCCAGCCTCCGTTGGTAGTGGGCATGCCAAGTGCTGTGCCAGACCTGTGGGAGGTCCCCAGCCCGTGTGGGAGGTCTTCCCTGGCTCGGATTCTGATTGGGTCATTTTTGCCTGGACCGCTCATGATCTCAGGAGGAAACATTCGTTTGTGAAACGGGTCCCTAGCTAACTTAGGTGTTAGAGTCTGTAAACAAGTCAGGATGGCGCCTGGCATTTTGCCAGAGGGAGTGGTTTGTGAAGTAACGCCAGCGAGCCATTAAGTGTGGAGATTCCTTATTATTGGTTGACTGCCGCATCTATTTTATGTTAATTAAGATAAGCTGTGTGGAATGTATGTATACCACTCTTGTCCTACAATCAACGGCTCCCACTCCTGCTGTGTCAATGCACACAAGTTGTTCGTCACCCCCCAGCTATTTTGCTGCAGCCGGACTGCGGCACTTAGGTCCCACATCCCGAGGCTGCCTGCAGGCCTCCCGCCTGGGCACAGTCCTGGACCCACATCTGGTCAGGTGACCACCTCACGTCCAGGCCAATTCCAGGCCTCCTTTTCTTTCTCTCCCAGGCACTGGAGCTTCTCAGGTGCCAGTAGCCGTTCCTCCCGCCTCATTACGGCCTCCCTGCCCAGGGCACTGCGCTGAGCCCCGGTCATTTCAGTGGAGGACAGAAAGTACTGAACTGCCCGTTGGAGCCATCTGGACCATCTCCTTGGGTGAGAACCATTTTGCCAAGGCAATACTGCCCGGCCCACTGTCTAGGCAGAGGATTCTTCCTTTCCACAGAAAAACATCAATGGGATTAAGAAGAGGTTGGTTTCCCGCGCACTCATTCCTGTTTCTTTCTACATACCACACACCCTAACTGAAGTCACAGCCGGCAAGACTGGAGATTGGAAGAGGATCCAGCCCGCCCAGGAGAACTAATGCCGGGTAGGAGCGTGGCATGTAGACGAAGCATCAGAGGTCCAAGGAGATCTACACGAAGATCTAACTCAGGCACAATGATCCAATCAGAAGGTTAAACGAAGATACACGCCATGACTCTAAATACAGAGTCAGCTTCCTGGATTTTCATTTCTCCAAATTAATAGGATTATCACAATCTGGAAAAAAATGCCAATCGTATCGCCTTCAGGAGTCTGTGGAGGTTGGCAAAATGAAGTCTGAAAGGAAAAGACGTTCCAGGTCTCTTAAACACATCAAGAGGTCCACGGTCTAGATGGTTTAAAAAGGGACACCGCGGTTCCCTGCAAACAGACCCCTGGAAAGTGGCCTCCTGCTTGGGTGGGACGCTTGGCCACGTGATTGGTCTTCAGCCAGTGGACCAAGAGCAAACGCCACCCGAGCAGGGACCCAAAGAGCCCGTGTTGGCTGAAGCTTGTTCCTCTGCTGCCCGGAGCTGGGATCGTCCTGAGCAGCCCTGGGCAGTGACCCCGAGCAGGGAAGGCTCGCCCCGGATACTTGCTGTGGAGTGAGAGAAGAATGAAGGAAGGTGCAACAAGCAGTCATCGGATTAATTTTGTTAGCTATTTGAAATTTGAAAGAAGGTCCATTTGGAGAGCCATCATCTCATGGTGTATAATAAAATAAATTCCAGGTTAATTAAGATTTTAAAGTGAAATACTCAATCTTCAAAAGAAACTAGAAGAAAATATGAAAGATCATTTATTTGATAGCAAGAATTCACTAAGCTTAAGGCAGTGGGTGGAATTAAAAAGAAAAGAATGATTTAACCAATTCAGAAATCGTTTCTGTAGTTAAAAAAAGAAGAAGAAAAATGAAAGATAAATTTTGAATAGAATTTGCAAAAATATTAAGGTCTTAAGAGTCTCATAACGTGCTGTTATTCTCCTTTCAAGTTTGGAACCAGTTTAGGTATAGACACAGAAATTAGGCTAATGGTCAAAATAACAATTTTCTTGATGATTGAAGATAGACTAGAGTCTGGGGTTGAGAGGTAAGGCTGCTGTGGGCTTCCTAATACTGCACCCCAGAAGCAAAGGTGTCTGTCCATCTTGGGATGGCTGCAGGTGGCCTGGGCAGGGTCTGCCTTGGACAGCTCCCCTCACTGCAGAGGGCAGGAGGCAGGACTGAGCCTCTGTAGGAGAGATGAGAGCGGGAATGAGTTGAAGATGTCCTGCTCCTTATCAACTGGGTGAGTTTGTTCTTTACCCATGAAGATGAATATGAAAAAGAAAAAGGGTTAGTCCAGGGCAGGGATTCTTAATTTTTTTGTGTGCCACCACATTGGCAGCCTGGTGAAGCCTATGGATCTCCTTCTTAGAATAATGTTTTTAAATTCATTTAAAAGTAGATAGAATTACAAAGAAAGTAGATTCTGCTGAAATTCAATTATAAAAATATTTTCGTAGTAGAGTGAAATAAATCTTTCTTAATTAACCCCTTAAATTAGTTAACCCATTATAACCAAGTAGCAGATCTAATAACGAATGTAATTTTGAAGTTGCAATGAGCATAAAACTTATTTCAGCATCTGTGATGTGATTAGAAAAATATATATATAATTTCCTTTGGTGGCAAAGTCACAGTTGCTGCCAATATTGACATGGTTGGTTTCTTACCATCAAATCCTGATTTCAACTGAACGCCACGGACAGTAAATACAATATTTCCTGTTGAGGTTCAAAGACACAGCCTCTGCCCCTGTGAGACACGGCCCTCCACCCCAATTCCAGGGGACTCCAGGGAAAAGATCCTTTTTCAAAGGGAACTTGAAATCAGAAGGTTCTCCCTTAATACTGAAAATACAGGAGCCTCATGCAGGCAGTCAGAAAGGCCTTATGAGGCGGGTCAGGGTGTGGGGAACAGAAGGCAGCGAGGAAAATGGGAAGAGCCATTTAACTAAAAGCCCCCGGAGGCAGCAAGAAAGGATTGCTTTTTCTTTTTGCTGACTAGGCCGGATGCAACAAGCACCCACACAGACACGTACACATTTTCAAATTACTATTTTCACTACCACTTAAATTAAAACCGGCATAGTTATTTTAGAAAACATCTTGAATTATTTGTATTTTGAATCAATAATTCTTTCATTTTCTTTTTGTGCAGTTCCTGGGGTTAAACCCTGGGCCTCACGCATGCCAGGCAAGCACTCTACTATGGAGCTATGTCCTTACTCCTTTTTATTTTTGTTCGTTATTTTAATTGTGAGACAGGGTCTTGCTAAGTTGCCCAGACTGGCTTTTAACTTGTGATCCTCCTGCCTCAGCCTCCCAAGCGGCTGGGTTTATAGGTGTGCACTACTGTTAGGTAGCATTAGACCTGAGGCGGTCCAGGAGTTTAAGGAAATACCTAGTGCAGAACGAATCAGTTAGTAAGCAGCCCTCAGGGACACCACAGGTCTGACAAGACAGTCTGTCAGGACCTGCCTGATGTCAGCCCTATAATGATTCCTCTTACAAGAGGAAGATAGAGAAATTCAGGGGTAAGAACAAAAGGGCACAGATTCGTGTGCTCTGCAGGGCCTGGTTGCTAAGACTTCGTAAGCAAGACCCTGCACAAACAACACAGACAGAGGTTCCTGGACTGGGAAACACGATCGAGACCCGAGCCACTGACGTGAACTCTGCAGAACCAGTTCTGGTTAGGACCTGTCAGCCAGGCCCAGAACACAGGTCACTAAATTGCCTTCAGGTAGTTAGCTACACAGGCTGTCCACCCAGAGCCCAGAGGTGACGCTCGGGCCAGACCTTCTCCCCCTCCCACCCCACAGAAGCTGGGACACCAAGGAGGGAGCTGGCACCCTGCTCTCTGAGAGGACCTGCTCACTCCCTGAGGGTGCCCCCTTCTTTCTCTCCTTAAACTCTGATATACTTTTGCCAAGTCTCACTTCTCTTGAAACCCTTTTCTGCAAGAGCATAGACGCCAAGAACACAAGGCCATCGGTAAGACCTCATCTTAGGAACCACCTTGTCTCCATGGTCACAGCCGTACCGACTGAATCAATAGCCTCTTTAATCAACTTGATCTATTAGCATTTAATCTTAAACTCTAAGATCTTCTTCATGTTACTCGGATTACCCAAATCTTGACCCACCGAGTCTACCTACCAGCAGCTCCTTCTCTCACTAACTATCCCGGTCCCATGTGTCCTGTGTGCTCTCACCCCACAGGGACCTGGTGTGCACAGCACTCTCAATCTGTCGGGGGGCCTCTTCCCCTTGGGGAGGACTGGCGCCTAGCACAGGACAGTGTGTATTTGGCCGTGGACATTTTGACATAGTGTTTAGTGACCTGTGTTCATTCAGCTTTGGACCAGAAGCTTTTCTGTGTTCAGATTTTTGCTATTGAGTTTTTTCCTCTGGTCTTCCTACCTGTTCACAAATCTTTTGTTTTGAACTTGGCCTCCTTGGTTCATTCATTTTATGTGTGTTTCTTGAACCTCTATTTTGTGCCAGGCATGCTGCTAGGTATTAGAGATTCATTGATGAAGCGGATGAACTCATTCCCGTCCTCCTGGACTTACAATCTATTGCAAGGCTCATTAAACTGTAGACCATGGGACAAATCCAGCCTGTCACCTACTTCTGTGCAACCTGAAAGCTGTGAATATTTTTTTAATATCTTAAAACGTAATAAACATTGAAAGGAGAAAAAATTTCGTGGCATGGATAATATATGAAACTCAAATTTCAGAGTCCATTGACAAAAGAGTCATTTGAATGCAGCCGGGCGACCTCATTTGTTTTAAGCCACAGCAGCAGAGTGGAATATCAGCCACAGAAACTGTACGGAATGAACCTGAAATACCTACTGTCAGTTCTTCATTGAAAACATATTCTGCAGAGTGGGATATCAGAAAATAACTAAGCAAAGAGGAAATAAAACAATCCTGGCAAATGGAATAAAGGGGAAAATGAGCCCGAGACCCAGAAAGCCAGTTCCCTCTTGGCCCGCAGCAGATCCAGGGCCAGAGAGATCCACGTTGCCTGGAGCAGGACACTCTGGCCAGCCACCCTGGGTGGCAGAGGTGACAGGGTGGGAGGAGGCCGAGGTGCTGGTGTGGGAAGAGCTGGGGTGCTGCTCCTTCGGGAGTCGCCTTTCCAAGGCTCCTTCCCCTTCCTTTGCCAGTGGTCTACATTCTAAAGAGAAGTGGGCCAGGGTCTCCGGTGATGTCAGATCGGCCAGATTAGATGCGAATTCAGCCTTCCCTATTTTATTTCCTCGAGGCTGACAGACTGCCTCCTGGAGACTGGAAGGGGCCTCCAGCGACCCAGGGAGCCTCTCCGTTGAGATATTGGGTGCAATGGGACGAATGGCCACAATGTAAAGATGGTTTAAAATAAAGTCACAAAATTCTGTAAAGACTCTTCCCTTCTCCACAAGGCAAAGCACGTGAATGGCTGTGATGTTCATTTTGCAGAAAAGCTGTGCCTTGTCCCAGGGCAAGGTCAGCTGCAATATTCAAGCCCTGAGTGGGGAGGGCCTGCTCAGTGTGTAGCGTCCTGCCGTCCTGCCGTCCTGCAGCTTGTCTCCTACTCGCCGTCCTTTGTGCCCCTAAGTTCCTGAAGATGAGGCTCTGAGTCAACAGCCCCTCCCCCACTCCCTCAAGGTTCTGGTTCTTGAGCAAAACTAATTTCCTTCTCACCAACCCTCGTCTCTCAGGTATTAAGTTCCGAGTAGCCAGAGAGAGGTTGAGAGGCTTCCAAGGAGACACTGGTTCCTCGCGCCCCTGGGTCCTCGTGAGCCTGCCCCTGTAGCTGCCTGGTGGACAAGAGCTGAGTTAAGAGAAAACTGGAGAAGAGCAGAAGTCAATGTCCAGGGGAGAGCGCCACCCCCACTCACCCCAACCAGGACTCCTGGCAGAGATGGAGCAGGCCAGACAGAGGTCCACCTCCCATGGACCCTAGGAGTGGGGACGACACGGGGTGAGACAAACTCTGGGCTTCCTGATCCGGTTTCCCCCAGGTCCTGGCCTCAGAGGATCTTCCCCCCCTTGCTCAGATCCTAAGAATGAATGAGATAATCGTCTGCAGAGCAACTTGTGCTTCCTGAAGAGAAGCGCCATTGCAGTATAAAAGCGAATGTGCCAGACAGCTCAGAGCAAAGGAAGCTGTAGACTGGGAGGAAACCTGCAAGATGTACTTGACACTTCAGAGTCTCGTACAAACAACTATGTGCCAGGTCAGGAGAACCTGAAGAGGCCGCAGTCCTCGCTAAACAATGGTCACAACCCCCAGCCCCGGGTAGCCAGGAGCGGTTTGCAAAATACTCACGCATGCCGGGTCTCCTTTCTTGTAAGGGAGGCTTTCACAAGAAATGGAAGCATTGTGACACGGTGGCTATTTTTATGTCATTTAAAGGGAAGAGAACCCCAGACACAGGAAGGGAAAATTGTAATCAAGTTCCCTCAGCTGTTAGGCGACCGAGTAAGGGCCAGAGTCCAGATCCTGGGAGGCCCAATCCAGGACCTTCTGAGAGCAGAACATGGCCCTCACCTCGAAACTCCCGGCTTGTCACCTGTTCAGTGAGTCACCTGCCTCAAGTCATCCTCTGGCGCAGTATGTAGCTGCTTCTAAGGAGACTGGTTCCCAGGATGCAAACTCTTCTCTACTCTCAAGGTTCCAGAGTGAAATAAGTTTAAATTCCAATTTATCAAGTAAGTTTAAGGTTTTAATCACAAAGAAAAACTGCATAAAGTTTCTTTGAGACGATTCTCTCTCTCAAATATTCCCTGTCTAGCAGTGACTTCCGCTTCCCTCCGGTGTGGGACTTTACCTAAGTCCCTTTAGCCCCTCCTTGGACATACTTCTGCTTGTTGCAGGTGAATTGTGGACAAAAGAAGCAACCCTGGCCCTCTGTGGGGTGGGTGGGGGGAGGACAATAGGCAAAATAAATGAAGACTAATGTGTCTGGTGGTAATAAGGCTGAGGAAGAAGAGTTCTCAAGGGGGTACAGTGAGGTGCCGCTGTGGGACACAGGTCATCAGGGAACGACACGAAGGGGCAGACCTCATGGTCACCAGGACAGAGCTTTCAAGGTGAGATAAAAGGACGCACGTGTCCTGGGTAGGAAGTGCTGGTGTGTTTGAGCATCAGCTTCTGGAACGGTGTGAGGCGTGACCCAAGCAGGAGGAGCGAGGGTGGGTGGAGGAGGTGGGATGCAGAGAGGGGAGGTGGGAGAGGCAGGAACACAGGTTTCCAGTGAGTCTTCACAATGAATTGGCCCAATCTTCCTATTTTATAGTTAAGGAGATGCACAAAAAGAAATTTAACGATTACTGAAGGCTACCGCGGAGTAGTCAGAAATTTAAATCCAGAATTTCTGCCCCTGTTTTCCTTCTTTTTTATCCTGAGGATCCCTCTGCTCCCATGCTCCTGAGCAGTGAGTTTAGACAGATAGCTGTGCCCAGAGCAATCATATAACTTGACAGACATGCTTAAAGAGTAAACAGCAAGGAGAAATTCTTACAGGTAGCGGAATGAGAAGCAAATTACATTCTATGAGATGCATCTCCTGAGTCGTGCTTGATAATCTAGACAATGGAAAACTTTGGCTGTGACAAGAGGAAGAAAGGGCGGAGGAAGCCGTGGTAAGTCCTGGGAATGCCCAGCACAAGGACATACTGGCAGCCAGAGATCAAAGGGGCCTGTGAAGTGCAGCCGAGGCGACAGCCAGGCCTGTCCCTGGGGCCCACATGCAGAGGCTCTGCACCCGCTGTCCGGGAGATCTTCTGACGCAGCAAAGTGTGGTCCCGTGCTTGGCTCATGTCCCTTTGAATATGGTCACAGAAGCTGGAAGTAGGTGAATTTCTTTCCTAGGTGGCTTCAAGATTCTGGGAAACAGGGTCGCTCAGTCCCATCATGCCACAGAAACGCTGTCCTGTACTCACGTTTTCTGACGAGCCCTGGGGCCTCCGCAGACCGTCAGCTGAGCCCACCCCACATCCCTTCAGGCACGACTTGGCTTCTGTGCTTGATGGTACCAGAGACACCTCCAGAGACTGGCTCCCCCAAGCATGGTCCCCTGTGGCTCCAAGCCAAGTCACCTGCTTGGTGTGGAAGGCAGGGCTCGGCACATCTTCCTGCAGCCTTGGCGCTCAGGGATGACGGTGCTCTAGGGAGGCCCCTGTGTCCTCCTGCAGCTGCTCACCAGTTTCCCACGGCGTCTTTATATGTGGAAACCAGTAGGAGGCTGAGACCAGGTCCCAGGAGGTCTCCCTACAGCCAGGGTTCAGGGCAACCTAAGGCCCATGAGAAAAGGTAAGTGAGAGCTGGGTCCGGGAAAAGGAAAGGTGACATTCAGCCAGGGAGGGCGGGACGCTGAGTGCAGAACTGTGCTGGAAGACCCTGCGGTGGCCAGTAGGCTCCCTCACCCATGGGTCCAGCTCCTCTCGCAGCTCCCTCTCTGGGTGCTGCAGGAATCTCAGGGAACATCATCATCTTCTCAAAACACGTCTCCCTCCTGATTGTTGCTGCCTAAAGTCTCTTCACTTATAAGCAGAGAGGGGAACAAAGTTTGACGTGAAAACAAAACCAAAAAATAATGACAACAAAAAGAAAACCAAAGGCCTCCCAAGCAATGATAAAAACCCCAGGAGGAGCAGATCTCGGCGGAATTCACTGCAGGGCAGCTTCCCGTCCATCCCTCTGAGGCTAGTTGTCATCAGGGAAGGGAAAGAAGTGGCCCCAGCTTTCCACTGCCACAGACGTGGAGACTAGAGGAACACACGTCTAATTTCTCACAGATCTGTAGGTGGACAGTGGACATAGATCAAGAGGTCAGCAGAGCCGCGATCCTCACTGGGGGTCTGGAGGCCATTAGCCAAGCGTGGCCCTCAGCGGTGGTAGGACTGAGGTCTCTCCTTGCTGGTGAGGGGCAGATGTCATTCGCAGCGCCCAAGACCACTGTTACCTGGGTTCTGGCCCCTCTCTCCTCTTCAAGGTCAGCGGTGATGGCTGAGTCCTTCCCACGCTCCCTACCTCTCCACCTTCCCCTCCACCCGCGGCCACTTCTGCTACATCTTTATGACGCCAGCCAGAAAGATTCTCTGCTTTTTAGAGCTCATGGGATTAGATTGGGTTCCCCAAATAATCCAGAATCATCTCATTCTCTTGTATCTGCAAAGTCCCTTTTGCCACATGATTTGACATATTTAGAGGGTCCAGGATTAGGTGTGAACGTCTCTGGGAAGGGGAATATTATTTGGCTTCCCACAGACATGGGGGGAGGAGATGAGACTTTAAAAACCCATTCTTTCTTTTGTTCCTTACGATGACCAGGAAGCTCTGGAAGCTCAGGTATGTTAAGGACTCTTGTCACAAGGCTAAACCTTTCAGTGCCAGGATCCGGGTGCAACTGTGAGAACTCACAGACAGACAGAGCATCAGACCTAGAAGGGGCTTAGAGATGACCTGGAACGAATTCTCACCTGTCCCCCTGGCCCCCAGACCTAGAGTCCATGGACCCACCAGTGGGTGGAGAAGACAAGTGTGCGTGTGTAGAGAGCAGGCTTGGTATTTTATTTTTTTATTCTTATTAGTTATACATTCTATGATAGTAGAATGCATTTTGACATACTATACATATATGGAGTATAGCTTCTCACTCCTCTGGTTGTAGAATTATGTTGGTCGTGTAAACATATATGCACATAGGATAGTGACGAATGACTCATTTTATTATCTTTCCTATTCCCATTCCCCTTCCCTTCCCTTCATTCCCCTGTCTAATTTAAAATCCTCCTAGTCTTCCCTAATCCCCCCTTTATTATGAATCAGCATATCGGAGAGAACATTCGGCCTTTGGTTTTTTGGGATTGACTTATTTCACTTAGCATGATGTTCTCCAGTTCCATCCATCCATTTACAAGCAAATGCCATGATTTTATCCTCTTTTATTGCTGAGTGTCATTCCATTGTGTATATGTGCCACATTTTCTTTATCCATTCATCTGTTGAAAGGTACCTAGGTTGGTTCCATAATTTAGCTATTGTGAATTGAGTTTGCTATAAACATTGATGTGGCTGCACCACGGCAATATGGTGATTTTAAGTCCTTTGGGTATAAACCGAGGAGTGGGATAGCTGGTGGGATGGTGATTTCATTTCAAGTTTTCTGAGGAGTCTCCATACGGCTTCCAGAGTGATTGCACAAATTTGCAATCCCACAGCAATGTACGAGTGTGCCTTTCCCCCCACATCCTCACCAACGGTTATTGTTACTTGTATTCTTGATAATTGCTACTCTGACTGAAGTGCGATGAAATCTCAGTGTAGCTTTAATTTGCATCTCTCTAATTGCTGGAGACGTTAGAATGCTTCTGTGGTTTCCATAGTAATCTCAGGGTGACTACATGGAAAAAGTGTTAAGCACAAGGTCCGATGTTTCATTGATTGGGTTTCTTTAAACATCATCACAACAGCCAACTGTGACAGACTTGCTTATATTGGGACTGGGGGTCTCCTCTGCAGACCCGGCTCACGTCCACTAGCAGCTTCCTCCATCCTGGCTCGGTTCGTTCATCTGCAGCAAGGTCATTCGGAGCCTGGTGTGAAGCTGACTGGATGTTGGCGCTGCACCCCAGGTTCTCTGACACTGTGCCCACAGGGCTTCCTAGACATGGGGACGTGAGACCGTTGGTGACACAGGGAGGAGGCAGGAGCAAGCTGCAGCCTCTCTCTCAAGAGTTTGGCCATCTGGCCTCACCCGGTCAAGCCTGGGCAGCTGGTTCCGTGTTTTGCTTTTCTGCACTGGCCTCCTGCTCTTCCTTATCTTCTGCCTTTTTCCACTCTTGCGCTTCCTTATCTTCTGCCTTTTTCCACTCTTGCGCTTCCTTATCTTCTGCCTTTTTCCGCTCTAAGACTGACTCATGAGGTCATGGCCGCTCTGTGCCTGGGCCTCCTGAAACCAAGTGACATCCTTTCTGCCTCTCTCCAGCTTGGGAGCTGCAGTGCTACCATCAATATCCCTGATGAAGGCAGCACCCTGAACTGTCGACTTCAGCCCCAGGATTTGTTTGACATCATGCTTTGACCAAGTCAACTAAAGAGCAAAACCCATTAATTATTAAAATAATTTACTGACCAGTGAAACACAGACAGAGCACTGCTTCAGTCATTGTCTGGTTATGGAAGAAGAGTAGAAAGTATTTAAAGCCATGATCCTTGCAACAAAATTTTAAGATAATCTTATATACTAGCAACAAAAATAAAAACAAAGCAGATTTTCTTTTAATCGAGGCAGGCTAAAATAGACAGTAAATGTTGGGAGAAAATACTCTCTGGGATACATATGACAACAAGAAAAGTGGAAGCAAATGAAAAATATCCATTCAAATAAA